ATGGTCATAAAATCCTAACCTGCTCTAGGAGGTTGTAGGGATAGGATTTACGTAAGGTAGCAGAAGGCAGGACACACAAACTGCTTTGAAGCAAGCGGCCTTATGCTTCATCTGGTGCGCGGAATACAATTTCAAGGTGGAGCGCAAGTGATACGAAGTTTCCCTAAATAAGGGACCCCAATATAGACCCCCAAATACTATAATCCTTATTATGGGGACCCTCAAACTGGTACCCCAATTTTAGGAAACCCCTAAATGGTCTAGGTGACTTGGCTTCTTGTTGAAGATTCGCTTTAGGGTTCCTGACTGGGATTTAGGAAGAAATCCTCAGAATGCCAGGTTTAGGGTTTAGGGGTTCAGGGGTTAGGGTTTGGGGCTTATAGGGTTTATAGGGTTTAGGGTTTATAGGGTTCAGGGTTTAGGGTGCTTAGCCTGGGCTCCAGCTTGTAGAGCATGAGGGAGACAGATGTCTCGTAGTAGCCTCGGCGCAAAAATATATATGGTAGTTTCGATAAATAGGGGGACCCCAATATAGACCCCAAAATACTATAATCCTTATTATGGAGACCTACAAAAAGGTACCCCTAATTTCGGGAAACCCCCATATATATATATGTATATATGTGACTTGGCCTGAAGGACAATTCCCTACATGGGCGACATTCATGTGTGGACCCGTATTATGAAAAGGAAAACCCTTAACAGGATTCGTAGTATAATCAGTTTAAGGAGATCGCCTCTTGCTATGGTGGAGGGCCTCGCCGGCGCTGCCTGACACAAAACGTTGATTCATGGCCCCAGCACTCTCACCAATGGCCATACACATTTAGCCCAAGAACTGACGACCATGCCGAAAGTGCGCAATCATGTCGTGAGAACCAAATCTTGGCAGCGAACTGGGTCTATCTTGAGATACCTATACACATCCACTCGGGAAGGGCCACATAGCAAAGCATCATCATAGTCTTAGTGGCGAATCCTGATTGACTCCGTTCGATCCGTCAATCCATGAATCCAAGGTCTAGGTTAGGAGGACCCCCCACCCTGTAATAGTGGTATCATATGAATATAAGAGGACCCTAATATAATCCCTATTATCCCTTATAGTCACTATTACTGGGTGGGGGCTCCACCTAAGGTCTAGGAAAGGTCCAGGAGCTGCCCATCGCCGTGGTGAAGAGCAGGGCCTCTCTCTCTTGCTCTATCAAGCCCTCATTGCCAACGAAACAGCCCAGTTCAACGTCTGCCCACGACCCCTCAAGCAGGCGCTCACGTGAATCCAACTTTTCTGACCATCTGTAAAATCTTCGCCCGAGGTGGGGGATGCTTTGATGATGGGGGAGGTGGCAGTTTCCCTAAATTTGGCGACCCCAATATAAACTCCCAAATACTAGAATCCCTATTATAGAGCCCCCAAAAGGTACCCCTAATTTTGGGAAACTCACAGGTCAGTATTCACAGTCAGCCTGGAAAGGGGCAGCCACGGACTGCACCAGGATCATGAGGAAGGCGAAGGGAAGGATAGCCCAGAAAGGCCGGGACACTTTGCAGAGCCTGGTTAGATGAGGGTTTAGGGTTGAGGGTTTAGGGTTGAGGGTTTAGGGTTCAGGGTTTAGGGTTCAGGGTTTAGGGTTTAGGGCTTCGGGTTTAGGGCTCAGGGTTCTGCAGAGCCGGGGGGCTACATGAGCTATAGTCTAAACTCCGGTTATGTAGGGAATTGTACAGGGGACTATAGTAAGGGTTATTAAGGGGGGTCGCCATTGATAGTTTATATACACCCGAATTTAATACAAACCTCCTTGTAAAAGACTCCTGGAAATCCGGAATAGCATAAGCTCTAGCAGACCTGCAAAATCCTACTTCAAATGTCATTTGCCACGTTCGTTCCGGAAGAGAATCTACGTATGTATGTATCTCATATATCTATAAATAGCTGCCCCAAACAAGGAACTGATCATTTTCTAGAAAAAATCAGTTAGGTCTTGGGTGCGCAGTTGGCTTAACTGCGATGGTTCGCCTGGGTCTCACACTTGACGCTCCGAAACGCCATGAAAAATCCAGAGGATCTCATCTCGGAGCTGCAAGCAAAAAAATCATCCAGGTTTGGAGTTTAGAGCTTTGGGTTTAGGGTTCAGAGCTTAGGGGTTTAGAGTTCATAGGGTTTAGGGTTCAGGGTTCAGGGTTTAGGGTTCAGGGTTTAGGGTTTAGGGTTTAGGGTTGCGCCACAAGTCCAAAGCAAGAGACGACCTGCTGCAAACAAACTAAGAACACGAACACTGCATTGCGACATCTGACAAATCTCATGTAGAAGCGTGAACGATTCCCGAAGCCATCCCTTTCTCATCCTTCTAGAAAGCAAGTAATAGTAGTAACAATACTCATACTAGTAATAATAGCGATACTACTAAAAACTGTTAGCAATAGTAGCTGTTCTAGTAACAATAGTAATATTTCTCTCGTTGCCCACCTCAGAACCCTTTTCTAACAAGTAAGGCCCTACACAAGTCTCATTGCCTCGGCATGACAGGAGGGGCTACAGGCACCTCCTCAAAATCAGGATCGTGGGCGGCCTGGACCGCGCAGATCATCATGGGAAGGTTAGGGTTTAGGGTTTAGGGTTTAGGGTTTAGGGTTTGGGGTTTGGGGTTTGTGGTTTGGGGTTTGGGGTTTAGGGTTTAGGGTTTAGGGCACACTGCGGCTGGGTTCCTACTGAAACACTTGGAGGTTTCCCAAAATTAGGGGCTTCGAAGGATCTAATAATAAGGATTATCATATTAGGGCGTCTATTGGATCCCCCTATTTTAGGAACAAGCCTCTTACCACAATATGTCTCGTCGTTCTTTTAACAGCAACCCGGTGGGGCGTACACCAGCTGGAGTCCTTCGATCTGAGTAAGAAATGGAGGAATGGGTTAGGTCTAGCCTTTAGGGTCCATTCTCTTTGCCCTAGACGCTGAACCTTTGTTCCATCCGGTCTATTCGGTCAGCCAGATTGAAAGCACTGCAGACTAGAACCCTCAACTCGAAACATTCAATCGAAGTTTCCGTCTTCTTTGCCATTTCTTCGATCCCTACAAACAACCAGCAAAATTGAAATGAACCCCTTTTCTTCCAATGCTGCTGCCTCCACCATAAAGCTGTCATGCAGCGGATCCCCGGCCATAGCGGTGACGAAGGACTTGCGCGACATGCTCCGGAGAAAGCCTGGAAGAGTGCAGATGATAAGGAAATGTCGGTAACCCCAACCCCCAAAACTTAGGATTCTAGAACTATCATACAAATATATTCGCGGTTTAGGGTTTAGTGTTAAGGGGTCCTTAGTTTCGGGTTTTGGGGTTACCACAACCCTCGTACTAGTTTAAAACTTGGGCCTCTAGGGCAATCATTGTCTGCTTACGAAGCGACCCTCCACAACGCAGGAATGACAAGGATCTGGACATGACGGTTACCACCATTAGGGTTCAGGGCTTAGGGTTATCCACGTAATATACTCCATCTGAAAGCCCCTATAACAATCCCTACAACCCTATAACCCACTCTGCCATTCCCTACTCATGACCGGATAGGTGAAAGTAGTCACAATGTTAACAGCAATAAAAGGAGTACTAGGAAAAATCACCCTAAACCGTAAACTATTAGTTAATAGAACCTATCATGATTATTATTTCTATTATTGCAGCTCCGCAGAGTTTTGGGGCGACGGATCTTGATATGTCTGAAGACGTGGAGGGTCAGGGGGACTTGGCAACTAGGTGAGGGGGATGATTAGGGTTATTTTATGGGTTTTAGGGGTTACTAACCTGATTAGTAAATCCCCCTGACCCTCCAAGTATACTGCATTGGGTCCGAAAATGCAGAAAACCAGGGTGGGTTAGCCAACACAGGATTTTTCCACCTCTTCTTCTGCTGGTAGCACTTAAGTTCCATAATAACAACAAAACTCAAGCTCAAACCTCAAACCCAGAAATCCCAAAATCATCCCAAAAGCAGACACCGAAATCTGAACCTTACGTCCCTTCCTCAAAGTCTGCTGTCAAGGCTCCCCGAGTGCTCGAGCCTTTCTGAACAGCTGAAAGTGACACAGCGCTGGCCTGGCTTCAGGAACAACAACTTAGTTGACGGCGTCAATAATGCTCATGGGACCTCGGACGCCCAAATACAATGTACAAAATATGATAGTCCCTATTGCCGGGGGGACTCCCAAAAGCAGAAATACATGTTTTAAGCAATCCCCACTTCCATCATGCACCACCAAAAGGGGCTAAAGCATCCTCATGTTTGAAAGGCTGGCCGGGTCAGGTAGATAGCCGAATGAGGAAGGGTCTTTCCTCTATGCCTCCTGAGTTTAGAGTTTAGGAGTTTACTTGGCCAAGTAGGGCTTAGGGCTTAGAGTCAGCAACCCAGATTTTTGGACTGAGTTGTAGCGGTTGGGGTTGGATGCAAAGAGGCCTGCAGCTGAAGCTTCAAACATCACGCGTAGTGGCTGAGTTGTTTCCAAGAGTTAGGGCGGAAGTGATGGGTCTCGAAGTACTTTGGAGCACTGAAAGCCAAACTTCGCAGCTTGCTGTCAAAGCTGGTCAGAACTGCTGAACTGCGTACGCTGTAACCAGCTGACAGGGAGTCGGATCAAAAAGGGACATTCATTACTTGCACCATTTGTTGAGGCCTTTTGCGAGAGGCGCGCTCTTTTCTCCCTGCGCTCTCAGCTTCATGACAAACCCCTGAAAGGCCTGGAGAAGCCTGCAACATTCCCCTGCAAACTCTACGAAGTAGTGCAGACCACAATGCTCAGCAACCAGGAGAGTAGTATGCCCATGCATTTCCTATGCACCTGTCGGGAAGGCCTTACGCAACCTAGCTAGAAGCAGCATGACCCAGCGGCAGTCACCCCCTACCTCGTCAAGTCCTCTTCCAGCTTCAGAACACCCTCAAGGAGCTCAAACACATTTGCATTATATACTACTATAGTATAATAGTGCATATATTGGGGAATATATTGGGGTTGTATAGGGATAATGGAAAAGAAAATGGAAACTACTATAGTATCGTAATGTTTATGCGAAGCCGCTGTGTGCTGGTTTGCATCGGATCTTGCTAGCTTGCCCACGGCCAGCAATAGGGGTGTGATCCGAAAAAATGGATGTGTATCCTCATCCGAGGTACTGGGAACCTTTCTTATAACTGTTACTTTGAACCTTTTCTTTTGCAGCTGGGCTTTCTGAAATGCCTAGAAGCCTCTTGGTATACTCCCCCCAAAAGGCCTCTCGTCCTCCCTCGACTCGGTTGCTGTTCAGGAACTTAAATTAAGCCACTATTATACGGAAACCTTTTTTTCCACTATTTACCCATACTATGGTAACTTAAACCCTAAACCCTGGACTCTAAAAAACAAAAAATGAAACCCTAAACCTTAAAACCCAAAGCACTAGAGACCCCAACTTGAGTTCGCTCCTTAATACCACCCTCTCTCAATCGGGTTAGCCTGCGAGCCGGCGCGCCGTAAAGTCGGCCGTCGGGGGGCGGGGGGCGGAGTAGCAGCTGAGCTCCCCTTCCTTGGGGGAGGGCTACTTACCGGTTCTTAGCAAGGAATTAGGGAATATAATCCCCACATTATATATATATATATGAGTGGTTGTCAAATTTTTGGTCCCTTTTTGGGTACCCTAAATATTGGGGGCCGTATTATAATAGGGACCCAAAAAGGGACCATAATTTTGACAACCAACCACTCATATATATATATATATATAGAGATTCTCCTAGGAAACAGTAGGGGGGCGTAAGGTTCCAGGGCTTCGGGGTGGCTGGTTTAGGGTTTTACTTACGGGCTGTTAGGAAGGAATAAGGGAATATATTCTATAGGGATACTGCTCCCGTATTCCCCACTAGGAACCAATAAGTTTAAGTTTAGGATTTTTTTGCTAATGCCGGGCGCGCTCTGGCTCTGCGCGCATAGGCGCCGCTACTGCTGGCTGACGGAGGGATCTTGATATCTCAGCGTCAATCATATTAGGTCCTAGTATCCCTCTACCAGTATGCTGAGCCCATTGGTCCGGGAAGAATCTGTGAGTTGTGGTCTCAATCCAGTAGGGGATTTTACCACCGCGTCTTCTACCCCTGGATTGATTTCGATCTTTGTATCCCGTGCAAAATACTACGTGATGTAGAGGATCCTGCGCTGCTGATGAGAAGACTTGTTGCATCATCTTAAACTGTAGCTTGCACGGTCTCCGAGGGCTTGCGTGGTGATCCGGCACGTCTATAAACCTCTAGGTTAGAAATTCTAGAGTAGTATGAAGCTTTGATGCCTACAATACGTCGCAGAAAACGAATGTAGTAAGCATCTATTCGCTTGAAATGTTTGTCCTGCAGGGTGAAGGAGTCAAGCCCATAGATAAGTGTGGGGATAAAAACCGACTGGAAAATCTTGAGTTTTTCTCTATATGGGAGGTTGCTGTTCCAGACCAACCTAAGTTTTTTGTACGAAGATTCCTAAACGCCACATCGAAAGATTTATCCCAAGATACCATAGTTCCCAGGTATTTGGTTTGAGTTGTGGTCGGGACCAGAGTTCCATCTAGAAATTTTACTTGTGGCAGAGGCTTTCTAGCGTCGTGGAGAATCTCCGTTTTGGTCTGGTTAAGACGCATTCCGTAAAGGCTGGTCTGCGTTTCCAATTCACTTAAGAAGCTTTGTATTTGAGTTGTGGTCAAACCCAAAAGGAGGGTGTCGTCGGCGTATTCGAGATCGTACACCGGCTTTCCCACCGACCACGTATTGGTGGGAACCCCCGTCCCCAACAAACCCCAGTCCACGTCTTCCATAATGACTGTAAGAACCATGACAAAAAGGTACGGACTCAACGGACACCCCTGTCTTATTCCTGAACCGACCTTACCCTCGGCCTTATCCCGGTTGATACCTACCGTGCAAAACGTGGGATCTGTATAGATAGACTGAATGATTTTGAGAGCCCGTTCCGAAAGCCCAAATCGTTTAAGCGCCAGAACCATGGAGTTGTGGTCGATAGAATCGAACGCTTGTTTCCAATCGAGAAATAAGAAATGTAAAATGGCGTTGCCGTCATTTCCGACCACCCTACGTAGGATAAAGAGGGGGTGCGACGTCCCCCTACCTGCCCGAAATCCGTACTGGGTGGCCCGAATGTGCTTGTCGTGTTGCCTAGCGAGCCTAGACTGGAGCATAGCTGCGAACAATTTATAGATGGAATTGAGTAGAGATATAGGACGGTAGTTTGAGGGGTCCGTGTCCAAGCCTTTACCTTTATAAATGGAGACTACAATGGCCTCCTTCCATGAGTTCGGGACCTCACCCGCCTCCCAAATCTTGTTATAAAACTCCAGAAAGGAGTTGGAGTTGTGGTCATCTAGAAGGAGAAAAAGCTCGTTAACTGCTTGATCCGGACCTGGGGCCTTCTTCTTCCTAAGCCTAGCAACAGCTTCCTGCAACTCTTCCAGAGTAAAAGCGTTGTGGTCAGTCAGGGGTGGGTGCAAGGGTTTACGTGAGGACAGGATATGATGTCTGGGGTCCTGGTTACACGGGGCCTTGAGTCTGAGACCATGGGATAGGTTTATTGTCTACGACTAGATGTCTCTTACGACCCTGAAACCCCTTTTTTTGATTCTTCGCAACGTTCCACATGTTTTGCTGATATTGCCCAGGGTCCTTCGTTAACTGTGCATGAATCCATCGGATACGGTCCTTCTTAGCGAGGCGCTTCGCTTGGTTGCGGAGGGATTTTGCGTTGTGGTCTTGGTCCGCCTCTGCCTTCCTAGCGTCCTGCAGAGCCTCCAAAGTGGGCTGTGTGATCCATGGTCTACGAGGCCTGATGGTGCGCTTACAAAAAGTCTGCTTAGAAGCCTCTAGCATGTGTGCGGCTGGGTCTCCTGAGATGTCTTGACTTTCATTAACCTCCCGTACATCTACTGACGGAGCTGTGGTCCCGAACCTTCCAAGGCTGTTTTTACCCTCTTCTGCTAGACGGTCTGCCCTCTCGTTTCCCTCGTGCCCCACGTGAGCCTTGATCCACTGTAGGTGTATTCTCGTGGGAGAAGCCTTGATGAGGGCCTTCACGTAATTAACGAGGATTTTGTGCCTTCGAGCCTTCCACTTGCCGGTAATGACATTGATAGACCAGAGGCTATCCGAGCGAATGGTGAGAGTAGACCAGTTGAATTCGTGGGAATACAAGATGGCCTCAAGGATTGCTGTCAATTCACCCGTGTTATTCGAGCCTACCTGAGCACCCCGGAAATGCATGTGGTCCGGATCCGTGATTACCGGTCCAAATGCCTCGATCCACTCCCCATCGTTGTTTTGTGAACACCATCCCCAACCCGCTGGTGTGTGCTTGGTGCATCGTCCTCTGGAACCTGAGCCATCCGTAAAGATTGTGCCTCGGTAGCCCTCCCTTGCGTTGCTTGAGTTGTGGTCTGGATCGATGGGGCTCTCCCACAGATCTCGAAGGATTGCATTGTAGGTTCTAGATGAGTCCTCATTAACCTGAATGTCAAGTTGTGGTGGCCTAGGATTTCGCATAGGCTTAGCTGCAAGCTTAACCTTGATATCCGTCACCAGCAAGTGATGATCACTTGGATAACCGGTATATAACTTGGACCTGCATTTCTGAACAGTATTGAGCCATTGTCTTCTAGTGAAGGTGTGGTCAAGTCGCTGGAAGTATACAGGGTCAGGATGGGGAGGTATCTTAGGGGCTGGCAACAAAGACTCCATACTAAGGTATGAGCGGACTGTGGCTGCAGTACTGAGTGCTGCTTCCCCCAGGTTGGAATGGAACACATCATAGACTTGCTGCATAATAAGAGGGTCAAGCAAAAACTGAGACCAATCCTTGGGTGGCGCCGTTTTATCCCTGTAGGTAATTTGATGCATGGGGTTAGGGGTCTTGTACGAAGCAACCTCCAACATATCCAATCTCTGCATAGCTCCAATGCATAAAGACCTGTTGGAATTAGCGTTGTGGTCAATGTACCTGGACCCTTTACCATACACAAATGGGCCTGTGACTCCCTCATCATTCCTGTGTCTCGCCTGGAAACGAACATTAAAATCCCCTGTAATATACACAGGTTCAGGCTTGGGAATTTTAGACAACTGATCTTCAATGGAATCCCAAAATGGGAGTTTCTCCTCCTCCAAATCCAAACCGGAGTGCGGCCCATAAGCTCCCAATAGATGAACATTGCCACTGCACTGTTTAAAGCAGAGGTGAATCAATCGAGGGCTGACCTGCAAGACATCAAGGAGGTGTGGTCTGAGCTTTGGGGAAACTATGGCTCCTACTCCTGCATGCTTCTGTTTGTGGTTACCTGATAGGATCACTAGGTATTGCTCCGATAGGTATGAATAATAGGAAGTCGACTTAGTCTCTGTAAGGAAGAGAACATCAAGTTTATGCTCTTCCATGAGAAGGATGGCATTTTTTAACTTCAGGGTGTCTGCAAAACCCTGAACATTAATGCTACCGAATCTAAGTCCCGCCCCATAACCTAAAGGAGTTGTGGTCGGTGATCCCTTGATCTTTCTTCCCTTCCTTCTCTTGTGTTTCTGTTGCCAAAAAACACTGTGCCGAAACCACGCTGCATTTGTTAGAGCGGCTTGTTTGGGCTGTTTGGGGACCGGAGTGGGGGGGCCCAGCCCCTTACTCCTTACCTTATTGAGGCTCCTACGCCACTCCCGGTATGCCCGTCGCTGGACCGCCCGGTGCGTGGCCCCCGGAGGCCCTCTTTAGTCCCTAAACCCTTTGGGGGACACCCTTCGTGGCTCCAAAATGCTCCCGGCGCGCCTCTAGGAGGCGGTGTTCGGCTATGGCTTGAATTCGTAAATTCTCTAATTCTGGGACGTTTGCAGCCTTCATCCCTTTTCCTAAAACAAATCTCCCCCGTCGGAAGTGTGATCTGAATTCGGCGGCCGGTCCTTTTAGGAGTGGCTGCGGTATCTGCGGTGCAGACTGATCGAGTTGTGGTCAAAGGGGGAACAAAATGGGGGTCTTTCTGCGCAACAAAACCATAAAGCATATCCTTTTTTGAATAACAGCAGTCCTTTCTACCTTCCCTAGTGTTATGTGGGTTGTCCTCCACATTATGATTGGGGATGAGATCATCTAACAATAACACCGCTCTTCCAAAAACTTCGGACCCAAAGGTAGACAGAACAACTCTAGTGTTCCCATTCAAGATGTGCATAAGCTTGTTCAACGAACCCTGTTTAACTTTATCCCATGCAGAGTGCTGAGTTATGATCAAGATCCCTTTGCAGAAAAAGAGCTGTACAAAATTGCAGGCTGAAGAAGTGCGTGGCTTATAAATTTCAAATGTGCACATTCTCCACTGTGCTGGCATCTGCCTCAACCCTGGCTCCTTCTTGGAACATGTGTGGGTAGGTGTTCCATGAAGGGAGCTAAAAGTCTGCTTGAAAAACACTTTCAGCTCAAGGATGAGGAGATGTCTGCCTGCTGGCGTTTGAGATCTGCTTAGGGGGAGTTGTGATCTCAGACTGAGGCTCTGAAACGACTGCAAACAGACTACAGTGTTTGGGGTCTTGAAAATTCCCTGCTGTAAATTTCAGGCACTGCTGCCCCTTCCCCCACCTCTTCCACGGCCTTTGCCTTGTGGAGTTGTGGTCGGAGCCTGCATCTCCTGTTGTGAAGCTGCAGCAGCTGCTGAGGCTGGGGGTTGTCCTTGCAGGGTCCCTACACTGTAATCTCCGATGCGCTTCTCTGGGGTTTTGAATTTATCGCACATTTCATCCCAAGAGAAGTAAATTTTGTCTACCACAATAAACTCCAATGGAAAAGGGTACGGCTCATAATAGTTTGTATGGATCGCTGCACTTGACCAGTGCTTTTTGCCCTTGCCTAAGTTCAGGCCTTTGCCTGAAATTCCAAGCTCAGCTCTGGCTTTAGCCATTGTGGCTGACTCTGCTTGGTCGATCTCATACTGAGCCCCCCATTGGATTTTATTCCACATCTGAGCCCACAACGTGGTCTCCAGAGTTGTGGTCTCAGTTGGAGGAGACATCAAAATTTTCTCCAGCTCTCTTGTCACCTCCAATCGGCCTTTAAATTCGCCTTCATCCTCAAAATAGAAGAGGCGGGCCCAGGCAACAATGTCCTCCTTGAAAGAGTCATCCTGAGTGGGCTCAAGGAGGGTGAGCGTCTTCCACAAAATTGTAAGACGCGAGCCAGAGTTGTGGTCTGCATGCGCATTCACGCATGACAGCAGAACTCTAAGGGGAGATTCTAATTTACGTTGCCATTGAGGCGAGCAGGGTGCCACCTTTACGTGGTAACCCTTCACTTGAGTCCGCTCGTCCGTGAAGACCGGGCACCCTGTGCCGCCACCAAACTTCTCCAGAAAGGCGGACCGAAGGTCATAGGCCCGAAAAGTCAGGAGCGACATAGTGGACCAAAAATCTCCGCTGGCAGGAACTGTCACAGGATCTGTCGCGAGGGCACTCAAATACCGCCGGACTTCATGTGCGTTGTGGTCTGTGACGTGGCCCCTTTCGTGCAGAAACGTCTTGATCTTGGGGGTTTGCTGGAGCATCCAGCCGATGAGGTACTCCCTGTCCACCGGGCGTAGCGCTGGCGGCCATCCAGTGGTCAGGAGTTGGATGCCGCAAGCGTACTTCTGCGACAACCTGTTGTCCGCCGCCATCCACGACAGCTCACGCCTCACCTGAAAGATACTGTTGTTGAGCGTCTTCAAGCCGGTCTCTAGCTGCACCACCATAGAGAACAGCTCTGGGCGTATCACCTGCTCATGATACGCCCTCATACAGGCAAACATCTCTTGGTTGGAAGTGAGGGGACGGTTCATCCACTCCTTCACGGCGTTGTGGTCCTGGGTATTAATACCCAGCGCTGACAACGTAACCTCCAGTGCGGCATCATCTTGCAGCGAAAAACTCTGTATCAAAGAAGCGTCGGCCGATCCGGTGGGAGCGTTGTGGTCGTCGCCGCCCATCGTTACGTCCGAGGCCGGATCTGCTGGCGTAGTGAGGCCGCTACCCACAGGAGTTGGTGCACTCCTCTTCTGGTTCTGCCTCTTCCAGTAGAGCTCCTGTACAGCTTGGTATGTCTGCCCTGCGTGCTCCACTCGTGCCCTGTTGAGCTGGTCACTGGAGCTTGCAGCCATGGCGTGCTGCTCTTCCGCCATACTCCCTTGAGGAGTTGTGGTCGGGGGAAACTACTTGAAAAACCTTGCAACGTGCTTGAAGCCGAAGCGCCTAAGTTTAGGAATTAGGGTATAAGGTTTAGGGTGTCGCCACTTGCATGGCTAAACAGCGGCGCAAGATTCATTCCCGGTCAGGCTATCTGCCGCTTCGAAATTTTAAGACTCAGGAGGGGGGCTTAGGCACGCAGAGGCTTCGCGCACACCATGGGTTTAGGGCTGCTGTCACTTGCATGTTGAGCTTAGGGTTGGGGCTTAATATGCCTGAGTTGTCCCACAGCTAGATGGGGGCCGTATGGAGAAAGAGCCCCTTCCCAGGGACGATTATGGCTCTTGTGCACGGGAAGCTTTACAGGTCATTTTTGGTCATGCACGGGCTCTCCCTCTGGCAGCTCACAGTTTTAGCGGCCTCTCTGAAAACGAGAGGTTTGTCCAGGAGGTTTTGACAGGATAGTGCTCCAGGAATTCTGTGGCAAAAGCGTGCCACTGAAGATAGAATGCCAGAAGCATATGAAGATGGTGCCGAGCCTAGCATAAGCAAACTCCAAACATGAAACTTTGAACCCAATCATCCGCACATTGTACCTTAAGCATACAGTCTTGCGGGCTGGAGCTAAAGCAAGCCGAGCTGCTGTAGCTCAGCCATGGAATAGTACTGGCCCTGCCAAGCTGGGACCACGTGAGATTGTTGGCTAAGTGCTCGGGAGAGAGGTGGGATCACAGAAGCTTACCAAGTGCAAAGAACAATTTCAACTCAAATTGCCGAAACAAGTCATCGAGTTCCTCCACTTTGAGCAGCCCCACGCTCCCACCAAAAACCCAAATCTGAACCCTCACTGTGGCTCTGCGAAGAGCTGTTTCCAAGCCAGCTCGCCTGTAGGGCCATAAGCTCGGCATGGGTGCCCTGCTCCGACACGGTGCCATTCTGCGCCAGGCTATTCGCGTGTCAACGATGTTTGGGGATTCAGGGCTTTGGGCCGTGGATGTTAGGATGTTCACAGGCTTAGGTTCTAAGCCTCAGTGGATACATGCCAAGCCTTGAGCACGTAGATGGTGTCGGAGGAGACGATCGATGTCAGCCGGTGCGCGATGGACACCGTCGTGATGCTCTTGCCATAGGTGACATCCAGGGAGTCCAGCGTTGCCTGCCGTGTCTGCTCGATATTGCTCGACAACCCGCTTGGTTGGCCTTGACTCATGGAGGCATGAGGGGTCCAAAACCATTGGCTCTTCACCTAAGAGGTGATCCCATGAAAGGAGAACCCAGTGGAGGCTACAAGGTTGTCCTGCTTCATGCTGGGCACTCCTACCAAGATCGGCACCCTTTCTCCTGTTTTCGGCGTGCGGCACCAGTCGGCCTTTGGGTACTGCCCCCACTCTGTAACAGTCTATTCTAGGGGAGATATTAAAGATGTTATTAGTATTGCCCAACAGTTCATAAATCCCTCAATGCGCCCCCGGATGGCTTTAGATCCGCCACAGACCGCTGAGAAACATCAAGGAGGCAGAAACGTCGCAAATCCCGAACCTAAAGGGAGTAGAATTGGAAACTCAAGAATGTAGTAGGAATATGATAGGAATATACGGACCCTGGTAGAGATATTAACCCGATTAAAGTCCTCTTTTATAAGCCTAAATCCTGGAGCAGTGACTGTGAGCCTGGACCATCCGCTCTGACTCGTTGTCCAAAGCAGATGTTGCCTTCGACTGGCCCATCCCCCACACCTAGTCATAGTGATAGGGTTAGATAAGGGTTATATGCGGGTTACATAGGGTTTCTACAGGAATTATATAGGTCAGAATATGAGGGTTATACGGAGACTCGGAGAATTATCAGAAACAGCCCTGGCTATCGGTGGAAAACTTTTTGGCCTTGCCCACATCAGCATCAGGAAGAAAAAAACATGTACAGTTCGCTGACAGGAAGCCTCCACCTGAGCCCGAATCCCGAAAACTGAAGATTGCTTCCCTGGATGGGAACATAACCCAATGCCCTAAACCCTTAAACAACATAAGCCTCTAAATTATCCCAGGTTCCTTCTCACTCTCCAGTTTCTCTTCCATTGATTCTCCATCATGTGGATAGTATTCCGAAACCGCATGTGTGTATATATATATAGTGTCTGTAATCCCGTATCATCTTTGCATCATCCCTAGATGACCCAAGAAACACGAATACCATTGCTATGGTGAAAATCTCTGCTATTACTGTTGCTACTGCTATTCCTATCGTGACAATGTAATGCCAAAGAACCCCCCAACAAAAATTCCTGTATGGATGGGACCACTGGGCTCTGCCAGGGCTATGTAGAACAGGCCTCGTCAAGCAGCAAGAGTTGTGGCCTTCGGTCAGAATATTTTCAGCTCAAATCATGAGAAATAGTTCTTGGGTGAATGACCTGTTTAGGTAGGGACATGTAGGGTTCAGGGGCATTACCCCAAAAAGCAATTTCAAACGGAAAAGAACATTGGAACTGGGACAATGTAGAGATTTAGGGTTCAGGGCTAGGCAGGCCCTTTTCGAAGCACTCGTGCTGTCTACACTCGTACCTATACGAGGATAGGATGACGGTCAAAATTACCCTGCTTATAACTTGAATGTTTTCCTACCCAGTCTTGGATCAGCGCAGGACGAGGCTCTGAAACCCTAAGCCCTCAACCTAAAAACCCCTAAACCGCCTTTGTAGCCGCGGCCCTCTAACCTTCCAGCCCACACTCGGCCCTGCCGCCTTGAGCTTATCCCCAATGCAAAGCCTTTGAGGGAAGGATAGATATTTGATACCAGTAGCAACAGCTATACTTTTGCTAATAAAATAAAAGTAATAGCAATGATAGTAACTGTTGTAATGCTACTCTAATCACAATAGTAAGAATAGGAAGAGCAATATATTAATGGTACTAGTAAGCATACTGATGACAAGCTCAAAAAGCTGAACTTCCAACCCTGAGTCCTAGAAGCAGACGCGGGACCTCCGCGCAAGAGCCCTGGCAATGGCTACGCGCTGCTTCTGTCCACCGGAGAAGTTCCCTGCATTTTTAGGGTTTAGGGTTGGGGGTTTCACGTTAAACTTCAGGGTTTAGGGTTGAGGAAGGTTTCAGGTTTAGGGTGTCACATTAAGAGGCATGCTTGCGGGAGAGACTTGGGCTCGGAGGGGCTCAGGTGTTTTACGAGTTGGGTATGCCACGCTTTGGGAGATTGCGGTTGACTATTCAATTCTCCGCGGATTGCACAAGATCTCCCTTCCATTTTTGAGGCTTGAAATACGGCATGTTGACCGAGCAGGATGGGATATTGTGCTAAGCCTCTTTCATCCTTGGAGGCAAGAACCGCACTTTGACGCACCAACTAGCGCCAGGAGCGGCGCGTGAGCCCTGGCCTAAACTCCTAGTATCCCCCTTGATACCCCCTATAGTAGTCCCCTATCTAATCCTTGCTAAACCCTCTCATCGTCCCCTATCTAATCCCCTATGTAATCCCTTTTCAGGAGTTTAAAGTATAGCTCATGTGCTCCCACCTCCAGTAATCAAGGTGTCTAATCCCTTCGGCAGCGCGGTGAGGGTGTCCAGGATCTGCCTTCGCTCTCAGCTGCAGAAGCTGGTTTGCTGTCAAGGAACTTAATTCCAGTTAACATGATTATAGGGTATGTAGGGACTATAGGGTTTATAGAGTTTGGGGTTTAAGTTACCATAATGGGTATATGTAGTGCATACTATGGCTTCCCCAAAGCAACTTGAATCAAGTTCCTCAACCGCAACCAAGGAAGCCCACATGAGCTGTAGTCTGAACTCCTGGTATAGGGTTTGGGGCTTAGGGTTTAGGGTCTAAGCTCCTTAAAGGGTGTTGTAAGGATTTAGGGTGTAGGGGGTTATTTAGGGGATCATATATTGGAGTAGCATTGGGGACTCTAGATTACTCTAGTATCACGGACATATATTGGGGATATAGGTACCCATCGGGGTAATAATGGGGTTATATAAAGGATATGTTGGGATAATGGAAAACAAAATGGAAACTACTATAGTATCATAGGGTATAATTATAGGAGGCATGAGAAAGCCAGATTTGAGTGTGATGCTGAATTCAGCGGTTTAGGGCTGAGGGAAAAGGGGTTTGGGGATTAGGGATTGGGGTTTAGGATTTGCTGTAGAATTTAGGGCATCTAGGGTTTAGAGTTTAGGCCTTGCGCCCCATCTCAAACAAAGATTGGCATGCGAACTAAAGAGCACTGATGAGAACACCAGGAATCTCTTCTGAACTCGAAACCCGATATATCCCCTATGTAACCCCCAATGGGTACTTATTTTCCCAATATATACCCCATAAAACTACAATAGTTTCCATTTTCTTTTCCGTTATCCCACTATAGCCCCTGTATAACCCCAATCAACACTCCCCCAAGATTGACGAGGAACGCGCTGCGTGCTGCCTCAATCGCCTCCTTCCCAAGGCAGCTCACTGACGGCGCTACTATCATCAAGGCGGTCCCATCAAATCTGCTCACTTCATTCATGACAACCTTTTGGCACTGCGGAAGCTGACAATGCAAGCAAAGGGCCAGCATCGCACATCATCCGTTGTGCGATGCTGTATAGACAAAAACCTTAGAAGGATTACCGACTGATTCTCAAACCTTTTCAAGCACTTCTTTCCTCAAGTTCTGACCTCCTCCCTAAAACGCCTGCCGTGGTAGAGGCCCAGGGAAATTCGGAATCTAGATAAGACCTATATGTGCGGTATGATGTATTCAGTCCGCATATGCTTTGATTTGAACATAGTAGCAATGAGGGGGGCACGGCTTCGTCAACATGATTGCCACATGCCGCTGCTCCGCTTTCCTTTCTCAGCAGCAATAGCCCGATGCTACCACCCACCACAACCACCTCCTGCTCCTTCTCTCAGTATTTCTAATTAACGCTCATTCTATGCCTTTTGGTGCTGCTACTCCTTCTGCTCTCTACGCCTACTCCTCCTCCCCTCCTCCTCCTGCTGCTGCAGCAACAACCTACAACACCGCTGCATCCATCTTTCTAAAGCATGTTCCCTCTGCCCGGTGCTCCTCGTCAGTGATGTCATTGTTGCCTGCCTGGGTTAGACGGCACTGGCTTCTCATTCACATGATTCTGAGGTGTTGTGGGACCCCTTGATGGGGAGTCTTGTAGCAAATGGGAGCTAAAATGGGGACTACCTGGTTGAATTGGGGTATACAAGCACTATATAGAAGGTTATGCAAGTTAATGGGCTCCCTTCTACGAGCCCTTGAACAATCGTCGGCACGAAGCACCCCAAACCAGCGAGATTGAAAGCCAGCAGCAGTATTGTATATCGGGGTTGTAGGGATAATGGAAAACAAAATGGAAACTACCATATTATAAGGTTATAGTGGTTATATAGTGGTAATGGAAAAGAAAATGGAAAAGAAAATGGAAACTACTATATTTTGTATGCCGCTGGACAAATTTCCTATCATGTCAACAGATCTTGTTCCACTGCCGATCAAAGTTTGGCATACAGACTTCCCCGAATCTCTGTTGAGCTTGCAACAGTCCATGCTGGACTGCTGTGGCTGCATATGGGTGGTTGTCAAAATTATGGTCCTTTTTTGAGTACCCTAAATATTAGGTGCCGTATTATAATAGGGACCCAAAAAGGGACCATAATTTTGACAACCACCCATATGTTTGATGTAGCCGCTTGCACTGCTGTCGCAACCTTGTTGAAGCGCTGCCTTCAGGTTCTTCATGACAGAGGTTGCGAAGAGGACTGGTTCCTGGACAAGTTTCTTGCTGGTTGTTTGTAGGGAATGACGGAATGCCAAACTAAATTGGAAACCGGTACATTTTGGGGGGGGTAATATAGCAACTCCTTAATAAGAACTCGTCAGGTTTTGGTAGATCAAGGCCCTGAAGGCAAGCCCAATCGCAGGCAGCTCCCCGCAGTCTGCCTTTGAATCCTTTGGAGCCCATTGATTGAAAGGCTTGGGCAACTACACAGCTCTGAGGTTCCTGAACTTGAAGAGAGAAAAGCACCAAGGCCCCTGCAGCTCTTAGGTCTTAGGATTTAGGGTTTAGGTTCGGGTTTGGGGCTATGCCAGCCTGTCCGACGTAGCCAATCAACCTTCGCCAGGCGCGAACCGGCAGACTGCGAAGCCTCAGCATTGCAGGGCTACTTTGGGGTCCCTGTTCTTCATGAGACCTGATTCAAGGAAGCAGTTGGAATTAGGATGATTAGAACTTGCGCGCTGCGGACAAGATGAGAATTTTTGGAATGGCATACCAAGCCCGAACTGACACACAAATCCTAGGAAATCAGTTCAAGGTAACAGCGCATAATTTCCTGAAGAAACCCATACTGTCATCTGGATACTAGAGGTGAGCACGAGTTGAAAACTTTGAAGGAGCGGTTCGTGGTGGTAAGAAAACAGAGAATGGGTTCTGGGGGCTATCATGGAGAGCCTGTCTCAAATCTTATCACAGTAATATTAGCAATAGTAATACTAGTAATAATAGTAACAATTATAGTACTGGTAATCCCTAAACCTTAAACCCTAAATAGTTAGTGCCATTCCTCCACTCCCTACCTTCCACCAGTGAGTCAACGCAAGATGCGGTCGACCAAAGCCTTCCTCTCCAAGCCAAGTTCAAGAAATCTTCAAGATACATACTACAGGCGCCAAAAAAAAAGTATCATTTTGATGTCCATTTGTTCAGATCCCTTTAAAAACCCCCTCTACTCCCCTTTGCAGACACGCCAGCCTGGGCCAACCCCCCCCCCCCGCCATGGTGGGTGGCCTAGTCCAGCCTCACCATCCCGCGTGAAATTTCAGCAAGTTCGAGGCTTTGGCGGTATGCGGCGGGCGTGGGTTTTTTGGGCTTTTGGAGGCCCCTGAAGGCCTGGAGGCCTCTGGAGGCCCCTGGAGGCCCGTGGAGCCCCCTAGAACGGCCTGGAAGCGCCTGGAAAACCCGCACATGCATGGAATAACATCTACAGACCCTAATATATACTATGGCTTACAATATACACAATGATGGGTTTCGCGTTTTGGGT